TATAGAGGGGAGAAAATTGCTTTTGGCAAGGGCGGAACAAGTAGACCTTAAATTCTTGCAAGGCAACCCCCTATCTAGCGTATCACTGAATAAAGAAATAGAATCAACTAACATACTCAGTGCATCTAAAACAAACCAATCATTGATTGCACTTAAGAGAAACTTGCATGAGAATATTAAAGTGACCCATGATAGTGGTCCCCCATATAGGGAAAACGTTGCAAAGAAAAAGCACCTGTGAGTAAATGTGTGAGTGAGGAGGAAGGCATAAGCCCTGAGTTCTTAAAGAGGGACATATCCAGAGATGTTTGGGAGGAGGAAAGGGAACTGTCTACCCTTATAGGGAAAACGTTGCAAAGAAAAAGCACCTGTGAGTAAATGTGTGAGTGAGGAGGAAGGCATAAGCCCTGAGTTCTTAAAGAGGGACATATCCAGAGATGTTTGGGAGGAGGAGAGGGAACTGTCTACCCTTTCCCCAGCTGAGAAAGTGAAGCCCTGAGCCAGAGTTAAAGCAGACGTCACTAACAAACGACAAGCAGAGGACGTCCAGTGGACAACCCAGTGGCTGATGACCTCCAGTTGATGGAAGAGAACGTGGAAGAAGGAGCCAGTGATCATCAGAGGGACCCCTGAGTGCCAGCAGTTGTGTGTCCAGCTGAAGGAGGCAGTAACAACCAGACCAGTCCACGGCGCATCTTACTACAGGAAGGTGAAAGACTTGGACTTTGTAAACCACGGAGTAAAAGAGACTCTCAGATCATGCCTCAAAAGCCAAATGACCGCTTGTGGGGGTGGGATAAGCCAAGCTGATAATGTTATAAGAAATGTTCTGTTTGTGTATAGTGTGGAAAAACTGAATATTGATGAACTGGAATGTTGAGAATGATTCAAGGACTTCTAAAATGAACTGGAATGGACTATTGATTTACTGGTTAATTATCTATGTAAAAGTTTTCTGATTGTGTTATATTTCTGGAAGATTGAAAATTTAATGTCGTAAGTGTCCGTCAAAAGGTAAAGTATATTATTGAATTATATTGACATGTGTAAAGTGAGAAGATGTGTTATATATGATGTTGCATTGTTTGGAAAATTGTGCCAGAGGTTAAGTAATTTTTATGCAATGATACATGTTTCTTTGAGATGAAAAACGTGTTTCCCCTCCCAAACAAACATATTTAAGGGGGGAGGTCTGTAGCGTTCATCCTTTGTTAGGTATAAGTCATGTATTATTCATGTTCTTTGCAAATGTGGTTGAGAGGCAGAGCCGA